GGGGTGGGCGGATGGGGTGGCGGGTGGGTGTCCATAGCTCTAAGCAGGACTGGGCCCAGGCTCTGCTGGCCTGCTCTCCTGATGGGGAGAGTGGAAATGCTGGAGTCAGAGCCCAATAGAGGGGCTGGTGCAGGCAGCTCTGAGGGCTCCAAGCTCCTGGCCCCTGAGCCAGGCCTCACCCAGGCACCTGGCCGGCAGCCTGCTGTCCCCTGGCCTCTGCTCTTCTGTTTCCATCTTGCTGGACGGGTCTGCCTGGTGCACAGACTTGGCCCCTGCAAGGCCAGGTGGGGAGATGGGGGCTCTGCTTCCTGGATGGTCTTACCAGGCACCTCTTGCAAACCCAGGAAATGTGGCATCGCCAACAGCCCGGGCACCAGGCACCGGCCAGGGGAAGGGCAGGGCTCGGGGTCCCTGGAGGAGCCCTAGCTGGGGAGCTGGCTCATCGCAGCCTCAAACAGCAGCCAGGGAGGTGCAAGGAGACACAGCAGCCCACCTCGCCTCAAGGGGTGAAGCCTGCTTCTGTGGGAATCCCGATTTCATTGCGGGAGGAAGTTAGGAACCAGGCCCAGAAAGCAAGCGATTGTGAGACCCTGGTCCTTCCACCTCTCCCAGAGGGACTGACCCCAGGAGGTGGGAAGGTCCCTGGGAGTGGCTGTGGGCATTGGTACCGTCAGGATGGGGCTTTAAGGAAGCATCACGCCCCCACCTCCTCTGTTCTCAGAGAAGCACAGGGCACTTTGAGTATCTGTAAAGGTTTCCATGTTGTAAAGGTTTCCATCCCAGAACACACAGCTGTAAGTTAAGAAAACGGTACCGCGGGTCCGAAGCAGGAACCAGTCTTCAGAATTCCCACCGGAGTTAGTGTTTGTGGGACAGTGACTTTGCAGATGTGGCCTCCTGGGCCCTTGTTTCTCCTGGATTCCCAGGCCTGGAGCGCAGGGGCTGCCCCTGACTTCGTCCCCCAGCGCTCTCCACTCCTGCCAGACACTGTCACCTCCTGGGCCTCCTGCAGGCGGCAAAGGACAGAATGCTCCAGAGAGCTGCACTGATGTTCCGGAGGCCACTGCAGGCTGGTCACAGGCCTGCTTCCTGTAGGAGCACGCCTTCCACACACCCATCCCCACAGCCCTCACTGCCACCAAGCGCCGACAGTCATGGCCACGTTCCACAGTGTAACGATAGGCCCCTGAAGAAGAGAGAGACTTTGGTCCGCACACTCACCCCTGAAGCTGTTCAGGCAAGCAGTGGGTGCTGCAATGTGTCCCCAGAGCAGAGTCTGTGGGAAGAAGGGCCAGCCCCCCAAAAGGAGCTGCTTCGAACACAATGCCTCCCTCCTCGCCGTGGGTGGTAAACCCATGGTCAGAGTCCCAGGACACACTGCCCGTAAGTTAAGACTTTCCCGCTGGTGCCCGTATGTGAATCCAGACATGGGTGACCACGTGTGTGCCTTCGCTCCTTGACATTCGTTCCGCCTGAAATGCTAGTTCCTTAGTTCTCCCTCGGCTCACTCCCCCGATGCAGGAAAAAACCGAGGCCTAGTCGGGCTGGTGTGGCTCAGAGGTTGAGTGTCAACCCAGGAACCAAGAGGTCACCAGTTCGATTCCTGGTCAGGGCACATGCCCCCTTTGGGTTGAGACTTGACCCCCAGTGGGAGGGCATGCAGGAGGCAGGCAGATCAGTGATGTCACTCTCTCATTGATGTTTCTATCTCTCTATCCCTCTCCCTTTTCTCTCTCTCTAAAAGTCAATAAAAACATATTTTTAAAAAACCCGAGGCCTATTATTAAATTCCATTACTCTTGCCTCTTTCTCCATATCATTGTTTCTCTCCCTAAATTTTATTATATTCGTTGGCTTATTGTTTTTCTCCCCCGCTAGAACACATCATGAAGGTATGGATTTTGTCTCAGTGTTCACTGCTGCATTACCAGGACTGAGGCTAAATAATGCCTGACCTATAATAAGTGCTCAATAAATATTTGTTGGAGGAATGAATAATTGTGTGTGTGCGAGAGAAAGAGAGACAGCTTGCATGGGTGTGAGTGTGTGAGGTTGGGAGGGGGTGCACACGTATGCTCATGTGTGTGTCCCTGTATATGTGTGCACACACACGCAATGTACTGGGCACCTGTCCTCTGTGGGAGTCAGAAACATGAGAGAGAAACATCGACCAGCCGCCCCCTGCACACTCCCCACCGGGGACGCGCCCGCAACCAAGGCACATGCCCCCGACCGGAATCGAACCCGGGACCCCTCAGTCCGCAGGCCGACGCTCCATCCACTGAGCCAAACCGGTTTCGGCTAAAAACATATTTTTAAAAAAACCGAGGCCTATTATTAAATTCCATCACTCTTGCCTCTTTCTCCATATCATTGTTTCCCTCCCTAAATTTTATTATATTCATTGGCTTATTGTTTTTCTCCCCCGCTAGAACACATGAAGGTATGGATTTTGTCTCAGTGTTCACTGCTGCATTACCAGGACTGAGGCTAAATAATGCCTGACCTATAATAAGTGCTCAATAAATATTTGTTGGAGGAATGAATAATTGTGTGTGTGCGAGAGAAAGAGAGACAGCTTGCATGGGTGTGAGTGTGTGAGGTTGGGAGGGGGTGCACACGTATGCTCATGTGTGTGTCCCTGTATATGTGTGCACACACACGCAATGTACTGGGCACCTGTCCTCTGTGGTATTTGGGGCGTAGTCCTCTTTAATGGAGCTGCCCAGGTGCCTCCCAGCGGTGACCCTGCTTGTGCCTTGCTTTCTCAGGAGGGAACACGTCTGCTTCTGCTGAATCCATGGTCAGTGCTGTTTGGATTAACAAGGAGAGGAGGCACTCACTATCCCAGGACAAGGTGGACCCTGAGGCAGCGGGGATGCTGGAGGAGGCGGACAGTGGCTATCTGCAGGTCCCCAGGTCTCCATGGCACACGCACCTACAGATGTACTGCTCAGTCCAAACCTTCCACCAGGACGCCGGCCAGCAAGTCAAACACCCAGGCATGTTCCCGGTCTCTGAGCAAGGGCTTCCCCAGGAGAGAGACTCGGGCTTGTTGGAGAGCAAGCAGGTGACTCAGCAAGAGACCACGACCCCAGAGGCAGCCCAGCATGAGTATCAGGTAGACCATCCCCAAACACAGACAGTGGGGTCCGGCTTCCACAACGGCCTTCAGGGTCCTTCCTCCATCAAGAACCCACAACGGCCTGGAAAACCAGTGCACTACCCATTTCCCCAGAGGAAAGCGCCCAGGATCTCCCAAGCTGCCCGGAACCTGGGCTTATATGGCGCCCCCTGAGGCTTTCTCCTCAGCCAGATGTCCCAGCCTTGAGGCCAGCTCTGGTCTCATCACAGAACCCGGAGGCAGAGCCACCAGGGGGACCCCTCGCTATGAGCAGAACTGGGCTACCTCACTGGTAGGGATTGTGGGAAATGAGTATCAGGTAGACCATCCCCAAACACAGACAGTGGGGTCCGGCTTCCACAACGGCCTTCAGGGTCCTTCCTCCATCAAGAACCCACAACGGCCTGGAAAACCAGTGCACTACCCATTTCCCCAGAGGAAAGCGCCCAGGATCTCCCAAGCTGCCCGGAACCTGGGCTTATATGGAGCCCCCTGAGGCTTTCTCCTCAGCCAGATGGCCCAGCCTTGAGGCCAGCTCTGGTCTCATCACAGAACCCGGAGGCAGAGCCACCAGGGGGACCCCTCGCTATGAGCAGAACTGGGCTACCTCACTGGTAGGGATTGTGGGAAATGAACTTCACAGTGGGCACAGTGGGAAATGGACTTCACAGTCCTTTAGAAAAGAAGAGCTTGCCCAGAGCAGATGGCTCACAGTTCAGGATGAAAGAGCGCTGTCTGACCCACGCAGCCCATTCTGCTCACACAGGAAGACATTGCTACATTGCTGGGGAGCTCTGGAGGCCTGTTCCTTAGGGAGGTCCAGTAGGACACCTGCTCAGTCCCTAGAACCAGGGAACCAGTTTGAAACATAAAAAACAGGGACCCTGGCCAATGGGATGCCCTAGCAGTGCCCCGGAGTCAATGAACGTGGACAATCTGGTTTCCAATATCTTCTGGTGATTTCTCACATGTTCTGGAGAAGATGGGCTCTGAGAATTGGCTTTTTCTGGTTGCTCTGCCTGGAGGCCAGCTCACTTACAAGTCACTACGTTCACTGTCACCATTTCAGCTTGAGCTTCCCACAGTATGGTCACCCTGGGGAAAGAGGGGCAGAACAATGCCACCTGCCACTTTGTGTTTGAGGGGTCTTGGGAAGGTTTGGTCACCTCTCACCGAGACTGCACATTCCAGTGTCATCCCAGATTTACTTCCTCCTGTCCTTCCCTTCCTCACTCCCTTTTCCCTCCCTTCCTTCCTTCCTTCCTTCCTTCCTTTCCCACAAACTGCTCCCCTTTCAGCCGAATGTGGGTCACTCTGGTCCTTCTGGGATGTTGTAAACCTGAGAGAAAGGACAGCAGGTGTTACTTGGGTGTGATGGGGAGTAAAGTATGTCTTTCCTGGTTAATGTTTGACTCCAGTAATGATATTTAAACACATCCAAGGTGCCTTTTCCTCATATCAATCCCTCTCTGCAAAGTTTCACCCCTACCCCCACCCCCGACACACCCCATGGCACAGTCTTGCCTATCCCCTTCCAGGATTGTCATTACAAGTCAAAAATACATATGTGCCTGCTCCTTGGACCATCCAGAAACGCACTCCAATGTGGAGATTCACTGTGATTCCTTTTGTGAATAACTAATAAGAGCTCGTTGTTAATTTTTTTTCACTGTTAATTTTTTAATAGTCTAATGAAAAACAAGAAAAATTCCTGAAAAACACTGTGTCCTTTGCTTTTGTTTTTAAAAGGATTCCCCACTGAACCCTCCCTACTATAGTGTATCAGTCAGGATAGGCTGTGTTTTGCTGCAGAAACAAACAACCCCCAAATCTCACAACAGAATCTTTTTTTCTTACTCATGAAGTCTACTGATTTTGGCAAACTCACAGGGCAGCTTTCCTGCATCTATTACCAGCAATTCAGGCTGCTTTAATCTTGTGACATCACTTTATCAATACTGGCAGGAGAAGAAGCTATGCATTAATAGTCATGTACTGACTCTCATCACTTTTACTCCCATTTCATTGTCCAAAGCAAGTCACATGGTCAAATCTCCACGTGAAGGGTATGAGAAAGTACGATCACCCCATGTACCAAGAAGGAGAGAAGAAATGGAAGCATGAGTGAGCAGCACCAATGGCTAACAAGGTAGATAGGGGCCAAGCCATAGCACAATACTAGGTTTCATTCTGAATACAATACGTAGCTATTAAGGGATTTACATACAAAACCAAATTTATTTTGATTTGCAAATTAGCCAGATCACTCTGGTTGTTCTAAGGAGAATGAGTTGAGGGTCACATTAAGAGGCAATGTCAGGGGAAAAGGGCCATGGCAAGTTCAAGTGGGAAAGATGCTGTTAATTCAAGCAAGAGGGGAAGCAGGGAGATGGAGAGAATGTGAATACGTCTGATATATACTTTGGAGATAGAGTCAATAGGATTTACTGGAGGAAAACGCTAAGTTCAGTCTGAAGAAGACTGAGTTTGAGATGCTCACGAGGCACAAAAATAAAGATATCAAATAGACACGTGGATAAACGAGGCTAGGTTCTGGACTAGCCTTAGGAATTTACGTGTCATGACTATGCAGAGATTCTCCAAAGCAGTGGTTCTCAACCTTGGCTGCTCATTAGAATCACCTGGGAATCTTTTTAAAATCCTGATTTCTGGGCCTCATCCTCCGGAAATTCTGTTCCTTTGTTACTAATGTTGTGGCCCCACCCCATAACAAAGAAACAGAATTTCCGGAGGATGAGGCCCAGAAATCAGGATTTTGAAAAGATCCCCAGGTGATTCTAATGTGCAGCCAAGGTTGAGAACCACTGCTCCGAAGAATGAGAAAAGATGAGGTCACCTATGCAGAGTGTGGAGAAAAGTCAGGGTTCAAAATGAGTCCTGAAAACTCCCAACTTACTTAGTAGAAGAATCTCTAAGGATTTTTCCAATTCTTACTCAGAAGGGGTGGCGTAGATGGAGGAGGAGGTAGCAAAGGACACAAGAGGAGTGAGCAGGAGAAAGAAGAGCCAGGGATGTGGAGTCACAGACGTCAAGAGGCGAGAGACAGTGTGAGATGTTGCACAGCTCCTCCCCTCATCGCAAACCTCCCACCAATGCCCATCATCGAGGGTCCGCCTTCTTCAGTCTGGAGTCATTGATCCTTGAGTGTGGCTTTTTGTTGTTGGTTTTGTTGTTGCTAATCCTCACTCGAGGATATTTTCCCATTATTTTTGGAGAGACTGGAAGGGAGAGGAAGAGACACACAGAGAGAAACATGGATGTGAGAGAGACACATCGATTGGTTGCCTCCTGTAGGTCAGGCACAGGGATCGAGCCTGCAACAGAGGTACGAACTGGGGACCTTCAGTCTGCAGGTCCACGCTCTCACCCACTGAGCCAAACCAGTTCGTGCTTCATGTGTTTTTAAGAGGCCAGAGTCCAAGAGGAAATGTCAGATGTGGGAAAACTCTCCAGCCCAGGGCAAGCCAGGTAGGTGTTAGCAAGTTCAGGTGCAAGCTCCCTGAGTGTGCCTTGGCCCTGCAGGCCTGCCTGTCCCCAGCACTGGGTCCTCCCTGGCCTGGGTGGACTGCGGGTTGAGCGTTCCCTGTGGCAGAGCTGGAAGGGAGAGGACGCAAGGGAAAGTCCGTTTGAAGTCCTTCCACTCCCGTCCCACCGGCTGCTTCTGCCAAGAGCTTGAGCCAGGAACCAGCTCTCCGTTTCGCAATCACACACTTTTACCAGCCCTTGGGCTGTCAAACCTGCTGCGCAAAGGGCGCAGGTTACATCTGGGCTCTCTACTTGACTCTGAGTTTCTCTCCCCTGCTGGTCAGGGCTGGAGCTAAGGTTCTCTCCCCTCACTCCCCGCAGTCCTAGCAGGTTTCCCTAAACCAGAGAGCAACCAGCTCACACCATACAACCTGCATCGGGCAGGTGACCTTCGTTAGAGTCACCCCTCGGAGCCCAGCCTCCTCACCACCCCCAACCTCCAGCCACAGTGAAGGCGCCCCCGCGTGGCTGCCGGGAGACTTGCTTCAATCTTCGGGGGCGTGGAGGCCAGTGCGTCTGGGCTTCCGTCTCAGCACTGCCTGTGTGTAGACCCGGCCTTGGCTGACTCACTGACCACGTAGCACCAGCTCCAGCTGTAAAGCGAGGCGATGATAGCCCCCGTGGGGTGAGGATGCGGACGAGAGTCGCTCTCACCTGCTGTCAATTCTGCTCCGTCACGCTAGGGGGCAGGCTCCCTGCACGTCGGCTCAGCCTGATTTCCTAACGTTTCAGTCGCTCTCCTTCATTAAAGGGCTTTCATTCCCGTTCTGAACACGTGAAACTATTCGAATTTAAAAGTCTATCTCATATTCAAGTCAGAGCCCACCAGCCCTCCCCCCTTTCCCCTCCCCCCTCTCCCAGCACAGCCGGATGTACACCTTTAAGGCTAGAGGGAGGGGCGCGGTCTTCCAGCTCAGACACCCCTCCCCCTTCCGTGCCCGCAGCTTTTGGCGCGAGGGTAGGAGGACGGAGCGGACACAGAGGCTCTTTATGTGGCTGGCTCTTGGTGTGCACTTTGGTCTCCTGTCCCCGGGCTGTTTGCACTGACCTGGCTCGCGGTCCGCGGGCTCCGGGCGGACACGTGGCGGCCCCCGGCGGCTCCTTCGGAGGAGGGACCCCCTCCCAGCAGCTCCCCTGGCACTGGGGGTCCCGGGGAGAAGGTTACACCTGCTCCGACTGCACACCGCCGCCCCCCTACCCCCCAGAGGTCCACTTCTCTTTGCTAGCTGCCCCGGTCTCATACACCCACAGCTGGCCCAAATATTTGAATCAATTTGTGCTCAAACAGATTCTTAAATTCCTTAACATGCCTCCGTTGATCTTTTAACACTACTAAGTTAAACTACCTTCTTCTGACTCCGTCCCCTCACTGATTTCTGTCACCATAGCTGGGAAACCCCTCTCACAGACAAGGTCGGGCAAAGGTACATTTCTAGTGCGTATGGAAAGCAATACAATAACTAATAACGAACAATACAAGAATATAAACTCTGTGTTGCACATACTCACAACTGTATTTTGCCCACCCTGTACTTTTGAAATGAAACAGCCGGTGGCGAAATGAGTGCTTGTCCTAGAGGCCAGAGGGAACCATGATGTTTTCTAAATACCTGTGGATGCCAACGGGACTGTGTAATGAAGCTGACAAGCTGTGGGGAAGAGGA